CATGTTTCGATGGACATCATTACTAGAGGCAGTGATATGTGTGTGTTTTATATAGGTTATTCTGCTTTTTGAATACATGGTAGATGATACTCAGCTTTTGTGCATATACATGTTTCTATGGACATCATTACTAGAGACGATGATATGTGTGTGTTTTATGATATAGGTTATTCTGCTTTCACAATTGAATACATGATAGATGATACTCAGCTTTTGTGGATATACATGTTTCTATGGACATCATTACTAGAGGCGGTGATATGTGTATGTTTTATGATATAGGTTATTCTGCTTTCACAATTGAATACATGGTAGATGATACTCAGCTTTTGTGGATATACATGTTTCTATGGGCATCATTACTAGAGGCGGTGATATGTGTGTGTTTTTTGATGATATAGGTTATTCTGCTTTCACAATTGAATACATGGTAGATGATACTCAGCTTTTGTGCATATACATGTTTCTATGGACATCATTACTAGAGGCGGTGATATGTGTATGTTTTAAGATATAGGTTATTCTGCTTTCACAATTGAATACATGGTAGATGATACTCAGCTTTTGTGGATATACATGTTTCTATGGACATCATTACTAGAGGCGGTGATATGTGTATGTTTTAAGATATAGGTTATTCTGCTTTCACAATTGAATACATGGTAGATGATACTCAGCTTTTGTGGATATACATGTTTCTATGGACATCATTACTAGAGGCGGTGATATGTGTATGTTTTAAGATATAGGTTATTCTGCTTTCACAATTGAATACATGGTAGATGATACTCAGCTTTTTTTGCATATACATGTTTCTATGGACATCATTACTAGAGGCGGTGATATGTGTATGTTTTATGATATAGGTTATTCTGCTTTCACAATTGAATACATGGTAGATGATACTCAGCTTTTGTGCATATACATGTTTCTATGGACATCATTACTAGAGGCGGTGATATGTGTGTGTTTTTATGATATAGGTTATTCTGCTTTCACAATTGAATACATGGTAGATGATACTCAGCTTTTGTGGATATACATGTTTCTATGGACATCATTACTAGAGGCGGTGATATGTGTGTGTTTTATGATATAGGTTATTCTGCTTTCACAATTGAATACATGGTAGATGATACTCAGCTTTTGTGCATATACATGTTTCTATGGACATCATTACTAGAGGCGGTGATATGTGTATGTTTTAAGATATAGGTTATTCTGCTTTCACAATTGAATACATGGTAGATGATACTCAGCTTTTGTGGATATACATGTTTCTATGGACATCATTACTAGAGGCGGTGATATGTGTATGTTTTAAGATATAGGTTATTCTGCTTTCACAATTGAATACATGGTAGATGATACTCAGCTTTTGTGCATATACATGTTTCTATGGACATCATTACTAGAGGCGGTGATATGTGTATGTTTTATGATATAGGTTATTCTGCTTTCACAATTGAATACATGGTAGATGATACTCAGCTTTTGTGGATATACATGTTTCTATGGACATCATTACTAGAGGCGGTGATATGTGTGTATTTTATGATATAGGTTATTCTGCTTTCACAATTGAATACATGGTAGATGATACTCAGATTTTGTGCATATACATGTTTCTATGGACATCATTACTAGAGGCGGTGATATGTGTGTATTTTATGATATAGGTTATTCTGCTTTCACAATTGAATACATGGTAGATGATACTCAGCTTTTGTGGATATACATGTTTCTATGGACATCATTACTAGAGGCGGTGATATGTGTGTGTTTTATGATATAGGTTATTCTGCTTTCACAATTGAATACATGGTAGATGATACTCAGCTTTTGTGGATATACATGTTTCTATGGACATCATTACTAGAGGCGGTGATATGTGCATGTTTTATGATATAGGTTATTCTGCTTTCACAATTGAATACATGGTAGATGATACTCAGCTTTTGTGGATATACATGTTTCTATGGACATCATTACTAGAGGCGGTGATATGTGCATGTTTTATGATATAGGTTATTCTGCTTTCACAATTGAATACATGGTAGATGATACTCAGCTTTTGTGCATATACATGTTTCTATGGGCATCATTACTAGAGGCGGTGATATGTGTGTATTTTATGATATAGGTTATTCTGCTTTCACAATTGAATACATGGTAGATGATACTCAGCATTTGTGCATATACATGTTTCTATGGACATCATTACTAGAGACGATGATATGTGTGTTTTATGTCATAGCTTTGTTGTACAGTTATACAGCTAGATTTTTTTTAAATTGTATGACATTATATATGAAAGATTTCTTTTTCTTTCGTGTCAGTTTGTTGTTTGTTTGTTTGTTTTTCTTTGGTAGTATATCAGCTTCTAGGGGTTATTTAATGCCAAAATATTTCGTACGTAATTTTATGCTTTCTACTGCAATAACATAATGTTATATTTTCAGGTTGAATGTATGTTTTTGTAGATCGAAATGTATTTTACTAGAAGTTTATTTTTATATATTTTTAGTACTGTTCATTTTTTATTGGGAGTTCACTATTTGACTATGGCTGGCACCCTAACCACTGATACCACTCCGAGTCAAGGTGGACCTGGGATCAGCAGTAATTCACGGGTTGTTCCACGGTCCTCAAAACTTCCCGATCAGAGCCCTTGCTGCCTGGTGTAGTTTATCGTCTTACCGAGGACTGCCAAAGGTTAGGGGCAAGCCATTGGTTTCGAAGACTTGCCTTAAAATTGAAGGTTGCGTGTCTTTTACAAAATTAATTTACTCACTTCGGTTTTTATTAGTGACTAGCAGTAGAGCCCGGCGTTGTCCGGGGATGTAACAGTAAGAGATAGATCAAGTATCGACCATCATAAAGACTGAAAAATAAAATTGACAAAGATTATTGTTTAAGGTTGACGGACACGCATGTCTTAATTAGTTTTATTTTTTTGTTTTGTTCTTTTTTTTTTTTTATGAATTGGTCAAACCCAAACTCAAACAAAAACATTGTTTTCAATCGTTATGAGTCTACCGATCGAATAGAATTTTATTATAAACAATTGTCTTGTAAATGGAATTTTTAAAGCATTCTGAATGTAAAAATAAAGAAAAAAGTGTGCAAGACAATAAGAAACACTACCTGCCAAAAAAAAGTGAAGTTTTGTTGAAATCGGTTGAAAAATGTAGGAAAACCGATCCTATATATAAACGAACACACACACACACATACACACAAACAACCTGGATTTTATAATAAGTATAACTCGATATGAGTTGTCCCCCTTTCATTCTTATGATGCCTCTTAACCGTGTTTTCAAATTGATTTCGTGCAAAAAACAATTGTGTTTTCCAATTTTTGGTGTTGTCAGAATCACCGCAAGGTAATTTTACGTAGTCCTGTGAAGTTTTGTTGAAATCGGTTGAAAAAATGTAGGAAATCCGATCCAATATATAAACCTACAGACACACACACACAATCTGTGTTTTATAATAAGTAATAAAAACGAAATTTTTACCTAATCTACCCCTCTAAAAATGAGCTAAATATTTTCAACATCCTTGCTTCTTCTTTTTCACGTCCGCAGCCCCTCAGTTCGTAGGCAGTCATGGCTCTCCACAACTTTCTTTCTTTGTAGCTCTTAATAAAGGTTGTTTTTTTTTGGGGGGGGGTTACTATTTCTCCTAAACCCTGCTCTGATATCCATTTACTTAAGTCCACTATGTTATGTGTTGTTTTCCTCTATCCCTCTTGCCTTCAATCTGCCCTGTGAGTATCAGATTTTCCGAACCCTCTTTCTTCATTATGTGCTCTAAAAATTTCATCTTTTAATTTAATTTAAATGGATTTTTAACAGCATATCAACCCATTAGAGTCATTTTCCACCCAAACTGTTTTATTTTGGTTTATATTTTAGAGAAAATGGACAATCTTTTTGCTTTCTGTATTTTCAGATATAATCCAACTCTTTTTAGGAATGTTATAATTCTATTTATTTTAATATTTTCGAATAGTTCTTTTAGGCTGTTGAAAAATTGTGTCTTTTGGAGTCAAGATATATGCATTCAATTACAAAGCAATTTCAACTGTCGCTTCCTGACGTTAAGTATAAGTTTCCTTTTTGTTTCCATTTTCTCCAAAACTACGTTGTTTACCCACATGTTCAGTTCACGGTATCATCAACATATAAAAACTATATAACCACATTTTTGTTGCTTCAAGTCTCTTCTTCATCTTTGAGGATGTTTTCCAGCATTCACTGCCATACAGTTGAATAGATATCACATAACAATTTAGTACTCGTTTCTTTGTTTCCAACAAAGTTTTTCTATTTCTTAATATTGTGCTTTATTTTTGGCTTGCTTAATAGAAGTTAATTCAACCAAAGAATCTCAAACCTTTGGTTTATAGTGTAGTGAGGATCAAACTAACTAGTCAGTAGTAATGGTCAGTCAGATTAGATCGTTAATAACTATCCCACTCTGAGGTGTTCACATTGTTTACTAGGCTTAACTTTCAGAGGGAAATTAACAGGAGATAACTGATAACTGACATCCATCAAACATGGCACGGGGAACTAGAACAGTCTACCCAGGTGAGCGAAATAAAGGGTTCGAACGACATTCCAACCGATTGAGGAGGGCCGGAGCGTACAACGGCCGAAACGTTGTGATAAATACGGCGACAAAGATGAAGACAATAGTCCGAATAATGTAAATAATGTACATAATACCTCATCTCAGAAATATAGACAGATATAGGCTTAACTTGTTTGGCGCAAAGCCACAAGTATAGAGGAGAGAAATCACTACTTTATAACATATAAAGTAATACTTTTATATCTTTTACTCTTCTATCTCCCATCTGCTCTTTCCCTTACTCTCACACGCACGGCCTTACAACGTTAAGTAACGTTAAGTCTGGTCAGTACCTAGATGGGTAACCTCTTGGAACTACTAGATGCTGTAAGCTATGATGTGCGTGAAATACGAGTTACGGCTATATCACGCTGAAACACTGTTTCTCGTACGATCACCGAAGTTAAGTAACGTTGTGCCTGGTCAGTAGTTAGATGGATGACCGCTTAAAAAATACCAGGTACTGTAAGCTTGGATGTGCATGTGATACGGGATACGGCTATATCACGTTGAAACACTGTTTCACACGATCATCGAAGTTAAGTAATACTGCTGGTGAATCCTAGATGGCGACCGTTGAAAACCAGGTACTGTTGATGTGCATGTGATACGGTATACGGCTATATCACGTTGAAACACTGTTTCTCACACGATCATCGAAGTTAAGTAATGCTGTACTGGGTGAATCCTAGATGGCCGACCGCTTAGAAATACCAGGTACTGTAAGCTAGGATGTGCATGTGATACGGGATACGGCTATAAAACGTTGGAACACTGTTTCTCACACGATCATCGAAGTTAAGTAATGCTGTACCGGGTGAATCCTAGATGGGTGACCGCTTGGAAATACCAGGTACTGTAAGCGTAGATGTGCGTGTGATACGGGATACGGCTATATTACATTGAAACACTGTTTCTCGCACGATCAACGAAGTTAAGTAACGTTGTGCCTGGTCAGTAGCTAGAGGGTTGACCGCTTAGAAATACCAGGTATTGTAAGCTTGGATGTGTGTGTCATACGAGTTACGGCTATATCTCGTTGAAACGCCGTACGATCATTGAAGTTGAGCCTGACAGCTGTAAACTTGGATGTGCGGCTGATGTAATGGATAACAGCTCGGAATTGTAAATCAGAGAGCTGTATTTCAGTTCCCGTTGGGTTCGTTATATTCCCAAGCACAGATAACTTTACGAAAGTTATTATTCCACCTCTTCTCCCCCCAGCTATGGGTTAATTAGTAGGACTCGTAATAGTTAATCCTTATCATCTCAAATAAATACTTATAATCTAAAAATATTTTCTGCCTTTAAATAACATGCAAAAGGTTGATAATCTGTAAAAATTCAATCAAAATCAATCAAATCTCACACGCATATACCCTCTCTTGCTCTCTCTCTCTCTCTCTCTCTCTCTCTCTCTCTCTCTCTCTCTGGCACTCTCTCCATCACCACTTCCCTCCTACTTTCTGATTTTATATGATTACGAAGCGAATGTAGCTATCTGTACGCCCCCAAAAAATGCGTCAGTAGTTGTTCACTTGGCTAAGCCACATTCTAGCACAAGATCACAATGAATCATGTGTCACGAATCAAGAATAAGTATAGGTTGGGTCACTTAAAGAACTCGGAATTCCAAAGAAAAGATTTCGCGTTCATTTTTCCAAGAAAGACTTGAACCAAACTTCTCTTCGCTTAATAAACTTGACATTGTCTTATGTCTCGCAGGGTACCATAAAAAGGGCGATCCTGCTCAAGCTCCCTTCATTGTAATGTTTTTTTTTTCTCTCTCAATACACTATGAGATTTGAGGTTGCCCTTCGTTGGATTATTTTTCATTGATTGTTTTTTACGGCTTATCAACCTTTTTACAGGTTATTTAAAACCAAGAAACAATATTACATTGATTGTTTTGGAGATAATAATAATTTATTTTTATTATTAAAAGTTCAATTAATTAACTCATAGCTGGATGAGGGGAGAGAAATATTCATATCTTTGCCAAGCGTATTTGCACGAACCCGAATGGAATTGGAACTCGGCTCTCCGATTTCTAATTCCGAGCCGTTATTCATTACACCACCCACACATCCAAACTTACAGCACCTCGTATTCCCAAGTGGTCACCCATCTAGTTACAGACCAGGCTCGTCGTTTCTTTGCTTCAGTAATCGTACAGGAACTGGTATTTTAACGTGATATGTCCGTCATCCTTTTATACGACCCGCACACCCAAACTTGTGGCTCCAGGTATTCCCAAGCGGTTACCCATGTAGGTAGAGAACAGGCTCGGCGTTTCTTAATATCGGTGATCATATGAAAATCAGTGTTTCAATATGATATGACTCTAAGCTTCCTTGGTTGGAAAATAACAACTTATATAACAAAATGCCGATATATCTTTATATAATTTGCATTTTTTTTCGGTTTATGCATATCTGAAAGCAAAAATGAAAAGATGCATGCACGCCCTTCTATTTCTTTTATAATCTATATATTTCCTGCCAATTTGTACCTTCTTCTCTATTGCGTCTTATCGACAGATCGAGGTCATAACGATCAACTATTCAACCACTCATCGCAGAAATGATCATCTAATCTTACCTTCATATTAGAATAGTTCACCCCTTTCTTCTACTCGCTCCCTCACTGCTCACGTTGAGCACCCTATCTCACAAATTCATTTTTCTTCCTATTTCTTCTTTCTTCATCAAGAAACAAATGATCCAACTCGTTCATTTTTCTTTTCCTTTTTTTAAATTTTTTTCTCACTTCTAGCACCAACTAATGTCTTCCTATTTTTCGCTAGAAATACAATCTTGCCCAAAGACACAAAAATGGCCGACGTCGAATCGAGGTCAACAGCACATCATCAAAATGGCGGACGATTCTCCTCCCGCCGTCGGCCATAGTTTCCATCCCGATGATTACAGGCGGACATTTTTTTTTCGTGAATGGCAATTACATCAAATTGGCAGTTAGTTAAGTTGTCCGTATTCACAGCCCCTTCGGGTTAGCGGGCGTTAATAAAGGAACAACACAGGTAATTTTGTTTAAAACAATTCACTACTGCCGCGTGGTAATGGAACGAAGGGATAACGCCACTCAAATGAAGCAGGAGATTCCTACTCAAGCAATACAAGCGACATTAGGCGGGGAACAAAAGGAAAGAGGAGGTTAGCATTGCCGAATGGCGATCGACACTGGAAAAGGGTAGGCGATTGGAGGATGTTTAGTGGGTAGGGCAGAGGGAATGGAAAGATGCGGGGATGGGGACCCAGGTGAACTAGGGGGACCGGCTGACGTTGCATTTTATTAGGGTTAGGAATGATGGCAGCAGAATTTAATCTGGCGATATGAATTGAAAACAGAAAATAGAACGACATTAGAAGAATTGTATTATGGAAGAGGAATAACGAAATTCCTGTCGCCGGAATATAATTGATATATTTGGACTGAGTTGGGCCAATTCGTTTTTACTTAAATTGTCACTAGTCCTCTTGAGTATAAAGCCCGTGCTTAGCATTCAAATCATGGGTCTTCTTCATAGCGGGCTTTATGAAATTGTGCATCCATGTTTTCTTGTGTTTGCGCGAATGTGCAAAGATTAATGTTTATCAATATTTGTTACTGTGAGTAGAAATAAAATACATAATGGTATGTCCGAATATAAAATGTTCTTTTTTTAATCAAATTCGCACCCTGCAAGACAATAAAGCCACTAAGACACAAAGGGTTATTGAACGTGAAACAATAAGAAAAAAGATAAACATTATTAAATAGCGAGAACGATAGAAGAGTAATCAGGAAGACAATAGATAACGATTGACATTGCATTTGAATTTTGAAAATCAAAGCGAGCTGGAAAGCACTGGAGCAAGAAAAGAGTAATACACCGATAGCTTACTTTAAACATTACATCCTTGCGTCTTTTCTTTAGATATTTCCAGGGTAATTGAATTGAAGTACGAGAAAAGAAACAATAAGCATAGAACTTCCGGTTATATCAAGCCAATTCAACTGAAAACTGATGAGACCTAGCTGCCAATCTAGTACTGCGCTTAAATTCATAATGTCTAGGTACCATAGTGAAGAGAATATCTGAACAATTACCATGAAAGTATTTATAGAAAAAGACATAGGAAGGCAACTTTATTGCGATCAGAAAGTGGCTGAAGCCGAGACGCCAGTTCAGGGCCAATAATATTGCTTGTTTTTTCATTAGATTTTATCAAGAATCTCTAAATATATTGGAGGAGCACCGACCATAGGCGGCAGCAAAATTCAAAGCATGGACAAATGGTGAACTTATATATATATGTATGATAGATTCTGGAGAGAAAAAATTGTCTTTCACGACACAGTGAACCAACTTTCTTAACAGCAGGCCTACCAATGAAATTACTCCGTCCACTCGTCAGGTCATATATATATATATATATATATATATATATATATATATATATATTGTCATCCACAGACTCTGTTTCGCTGTATCACAGCTCTTCAGTGTGGTTAGACGTCTGGTTACCTCTAGCTAGGATTAAAACCCGGCTGAATTGGCGTCAGATTCTACTACTAAGCCGTCGGCGCATGGCAGGGACGAAGATGAATTTAAGCGTATTTATTTTTAGATAAACACACAGTGACTGAGAGGACTCGATTCACTTTACCGAAGAGTCTTGCTATAATAGCCGTAATAGTCACTAACAGAATATTTACCGTAGCCTTAAACTACACAGACAAAAGACATGTACATGTTATCACCTACCATCAATTAAAGTTCAGAAGCCATGAGGGCGATCCCTGATGTAGCATCAAGCCCTTGATTATTATTATTATTATTATTATTATTATTGTTGTTGTTGTTGTTGTTATTGTTATATCCATCGTACGTAAATATGTTTCAACTCTATCATTAACAGCCAGAAACTACAAAAGAAAGAGACGGAACCCAGTTACTGAGAGTTACTAAGTATCTAGATGTGACTCCCAAGTCGCTTTGGTTGACTCATCCTTCAAACTTAGAGAAAAAATAAACAGCCCTCTCGCCCCCCCACACACACCCAGGTTATTTTGCTCCCCAAATCGTATGAATGGCTCATTGAAAAAGAAGAGACATTTATTTGAAAAAGAATCCGATTCACTACAAGACGACGCTTTTTTTTCTTTTCATAAAATCCCGGCAAGTTTCTGTTAACTTATTGTAACCATACAGAATATTTTCACTATAGGGATTTCTTACTTTATGTTCAGATCTACTACTAGCTTGCTTTTTATATACAGTAATGTTTTCCGCTACAGCTGGAGTGCTTTTGTAGTGTCTTATAATATACTGATAGCTTACTTTAATCATAACAACCTTGCGCCTTTTCCTTAAGTATTTTTAGTGTAATTGTTCTGGTGAGCTTTCCTCTTTAGTATCTTGACTTTAGGAATTTAAGTGCAGTACTAGATTGGCGTGAAGGTCTCATCATTTTACAACTGAAACGGCTAGACAATTTTCTCACTAGAATCTACACATTTATAAGTTTACCATTCGTCCATTCAACGAGTATTGCAATTACATCTGATCTGTTCCATTTGCTATGTATCTGGAGATTCTTGATAAAATACAAAAAAAGAATCAACAATGTTATCGGTCTTGACCTGGCATCGCGTCTTCAATCACTTTCTCAACACCGTAACGTAGCTTCCTGGTGCCTTTTCCATAAATATTTTCATGATAACTGTTCTGATAAGTTTTCCTCTTTGGTTGTCCAACTTCACGAATTTAAGCGCAGTACTAAATTGGAAGCTAGATTTCATCATTTTAAAGTTAAATTTTCTAGGCGTGGCTATAAGGTCTATGGAAAAATTTTCTTTCGGGCTTCTTGCTTTCCAGTCAATTTTGATCTTCAAAAATTAAAGGTAATGCTAATCGTTATCTTCCGTATTCTCAATTCTTGCTCTTTTATTGTTCTCTTGCCTTAATAATGTTTTTTTTCTCATATTCTTTCAAGCTCATTAACCTCTTGTGTCTTAGTGGCTTTATTACCTTGCTTGAGGTGAAATGATTAAAAAAATAAGATAAAAGCAATACACGCTGCGTTTTTTTTCATGGATATGCCTCGCTGAATTGTGGTGCGTCTAATATGCGAAAACGTACGACTCGCAGACTCTATTTCGCAGTTATCATTTCTATAGGACATTTGGTCAATGCAGTCTAATTGAATACTTTAGAGCTATTGCACATAATTTGTAGATAGATAGATAGATAGATAGATAGATAGATAGATAGATAGATAGATCAGGTGCAATAGCCGTATCCCGTATCACATGCACATCCAATCTTACAGTACCTGGTATTTCTAAGCGGTCACCCATCTAGGATTCACCCAGTACAACGTTATAATGATGCAATGGATAAATTGTCGTCTAAATTACGCAAAAATGAAAAAAACACTGACATTTCATTTTAACAGTCATATTTATCAAAATTACACAAAAATATCTTGAAATACAAAAAAAAATCGCCATTGGCTACAACCACTGACTCTAGACGAATTCGGAATCTCCTTCAACTCTTCTGGACATTCTCCTTGTTTAAGTTGATTAGTGCTGCCATAATCCTTGCTTTCAGTTCATTTTTGGTGTTAGAAGGTCTCTCGCTCTACTGCGTCCCACACATAATAATCAAGGGGGTTGCAGTCTGGGGAGTTATGTAGCCAGATGTAAGCGGGTGATGTGGTCGCAGAAATTGTCTGACAGCCATGTGCTTGTGTGCCATGGAGAAGAAATGTTGCCAGGCATTGGGTCTTCCAGCAGCCACCCTCTTGATCCAGGGCACCGCTACCTCCCTGACTATGGACCTGATTGACTTGGAGGGATCATTTTCAATCATGCCCGGGATCTTACCAACAAATTCGGGGGTTCTTCTCTTATCAGAACGATCAGAGTGAGTTTTCCGAGATGCCGTACCTTCGTAATCGCAATTAGACACATCCAACTCTTCCCGAATCCTCTGTCCTCAGATTGAGGGGCAATTTTTCTATTATAAGAAACGGACCCTCATATAATCTGACCCTCATATAATTTCCAAGTGCTGATGTAATAATTCGGAAAAATATATTTAAGGACTCAAAACCTGTTAATAATAGTGTGGACAAAATATGCATCGTTTCTTAAACTAGTATAAAAATAACATCTAAGAAAATACGTCTCTTTGAACGTAAAATATTAAAGCCATTATTAATCAAGCAAGTGCAAATATTTAACTATCTGGGAAGTGTTTTAAACAGACAAAAATATGATACCGAAATCCGAAGGCACATTGGAATAGCGAAATATGCTTTCCAGAAACAAACAAAATTGTTAGAAACAAAGAAAATAATGCTGACCCACCCGCCTCCATAATTACAATTAAATCTGTAATACGTTACATTATCATGGAAACTTCATGTACGTTTTTCACAAAGGCTGAAATAATGAATTTGAAAGAATGTGCAGTGATACCAACAAAAAACTTATTTTAATGTCAAATAACAATACAAAAAAGGATTTTTACAGATGACAAAATTATTGGGCCTTTTTCCCTCAATAATCAATTGTGTAACCTTTATACTTGATTATTACCTTTCATCGTTTTTGATAATTACAAGATCACAACACACACTGGATTTTTGTTCCGTTTTTCTCTGGTAATATCTTCTAGTTCCTTCAAATTCAAAGGACATCTTTCTCTTTTTTTTTCTTCAAATATGCTCATAAATTTTCAATTGTGTTTAGGTCCGGACCCTAATTCTAGTTTGGTTTCATCTTTTTTTTTTTTTAAGCGTTTCACCCCAAGCAAGGCGGGAAGCCACTAGAACGCAAGGTGTTACAGAGAGTTGGAGCGAGAGCAAATAGGAATGATAGAGGAAAAGGATGAAGAGAAGGATAGGGGATAGATTAGGGAATCTGGAGATGTCGATTGACATTACATTTGAATTGTTGGAGATTATAGCTATCAGGGAAACAGGAAAAGGGGAGGAAGTTCTACAGGCGAGAGGTGCGAGACATGAACCTATTGGAGTAGAAGAGACGGCTACATTTAACAGTTTCGACAGTGAAAGTGTCAGAGCGAGATGCCAGCCTAGTTGAACGCTTAAATTCATGAAGTCTGGGAACCAGCGAAAGCAGCTCATCGGAGCAGTTACCATGAAAGTATTTGTTTAAAAAGACAGAGGGTGGCGACGGCACGTCTGTGAGAGAGCGACTGCAGACGAGATGCCAGATCAGGGCCAATTACGTTACATACCCGTCTCTGGATCTTATCAAGAACTTTGAGACAAACATAAGGGGCACCAGACCATATATGACAGCAATACTCCATGCAAGGGCGAATGGTTGATTTGTAGATTTGAAGGATCGACTCCGGCGAGAAAAATTTCCTGGCGCGGCACAGGGAGCCAACTTTCCCTGCAGTGGACGAGGCTATTGACTCAATGTATTTGTTCCATCTCAGGTCAGCAGACAATGTGAGACCGAGCAGTCGCAAAGAGGTGCTCTCGTGGATTTGAGCGTCAGACATTCTAATGGGAGGAAGGGATGGTTCTCAGTTTTGTTTTTGAGGCGTTAAAGTTAACCAGCCAATTCATGCCCCTGTTCCCAACCGATTGGAGGTCCTTTTCGAAACGAACAGCCAGGTTAGTTTTGTCAACGATATTAGATTTGTTTTTGAGACAAAACAAAAAAAGAAATCTGACCATAAAACAGTTCTAATATTTACTCCCATGTTCTCGATGGTCAATACATTACTTTTGCTGTCATCTAAGTTTTTGTAACAATTCGTGCCATGTGTTTCGGGTCATTGTCATGTTGGAACATCCAGTGACGCCCCAAAACAACATTCGTGCACTTTGTTTTATATTATTTTTAAGAATAGCCATATACATCACTTTGTCCAAGGATACCTTGTCCTCTCACTAGTTCTCCTAGTCCGGAAGGAGCAAAACATCCCCAGAGAATAATGCTCCTGCCACCTTGCTTAATTGTAGGGAGGGTATTTTTTGTTTTGTGAGTTTCATTCACTTTCCTCCATACATAACGGAAGTTCTTGGGACCAAATAATTCCAGTTTGGTTTCATCTAACTATAAAACAATAAGTTCCAATATTTACTCCCATGTTCTAGATGGCTTATAGCATAAGCTAATCTGCATTTTAGTTGTCTAGGCTTAAGCATAGAAGTTTACCTTGGATGACAAGCTCGAAGTCCTGCTTAATGAAAGCATCTAGTGACTTTACATCATTGACAACGTTCTTTGTCATTAAGTGAGGATTCTTCAAAATATCCCTAACAACTTTCCTTTCCATTCTCTCAGCAATTAACTGTTTTTTGTCAGTCCTTAATGTATTCTCAACACAATGAGTCTTGTTTTACTTCTTGATAATGCTACGAATTGACAATCTAGGAACATTTAAATACTTGTAAAGTGTTGTATATCCATCACCTTATTTGTACGCATCAACTATCTTCATTCAGAGATTCTTGTCAAGTTTAGTCGTCTATGTCATGGTTGCAGAACGAATAAATTGTCGCGGTACGTGGCACTAACATAGTCTTCTGCATTACCGTTTAGAATGTTGTAGAATCAGATCAATACTATTTCATTTTCAAAGGGGGTTTGTATTAAAGATCGGATTAAGAAAAAACATTACAATTGCTATAGAGCAAAATTATTTAATAATTTCCATAAGTGGGTGCGAATAATTTTGGATTGCACCAATTTTTAGAAAAATCTAGAACTATGAATATTGTCAGATCGAAAATTTAAAAAATTTCACGAATTATTCAAAATTAAATACGAAATCAACTATTTATTGTTTATCCAGTAAATGCTTGCAAATATTCGCATTTCCTTAGAAAATATGCAAATATTCAGTAGGGATGAATAATAAACATTTTTTTCTCTCAAAATACGAAGAAGAGTAAAAAGAAAGAACAACCATCAATTGTAAGAAGACAGCAAGAACGACAACGCAAAATGTGAGTTACAAATTAGAATCAAACAAGTACAAAAATCCGGGAACTGTTACAACAGAGGATGGAAATGTCATACAGGAATTTAAAGGTATGTTGAAATAGAAAAAGATCCCTTCAAAAAGTGAAACCTCATAAACAAAAGAGTGCTGACCTACGGTGTAATATCAATTCTCCTATATGGCAGAGAATGCGAGACAGTTTCCTCACAGACGAAGAAGAGAAATTCTGTTCTACAGAAGGATTATGAGAATACCCTGAACGAAGCACGTAAGTAAGGGGCAAGTTGTAATGAAAATGGAGACAAAAAGAACACTTATACCTAAAATAGGAAAGAGCAATTTCTGGGATACAAACAGAGGAAAGATGGCTTGGAGAATTTAACACACACAGTATATATTGTAGGCAACAGGGAAAGAGGAAAACAGCAAGCAACTTACTAAATGAGCTCGTGTAAATGGTTAGAAAAACAGGGAGGGATAGTAAGGAGACGAAAGATAGGAAGTTGTAGAGAGCCATCATCTTGAAGGTGGCTCCTTTCCGGGTGATGACTCTTACCTTTTTCTGCAAGAGAACCAATCCGTGTATTCCAAGCCCCACCGACACGGCAATAATTATTTTTTTTACATATTTCTAAATAAAGAAAAAAAGAAAGAGAGAGAGAGAGAAAGAAATTAAAAAATAAGAAAAACATTAATAAATTACTGATAACTTTGACTCTTAAAAGCAGAGAAGGCCCGTTTCCGCATACCATTCTTGATCTAGTTCTATACACAGGAAAAATGAACGTAAAAGAACTGTATGAGAGAAGGTTGAGGGATCAAGGTTTATTGAGCGTGAAAAGAAGAAAAAAAGCGATGGCGTTTAAAAGTGTCAAATATGTTGAACTATATTTATTGTTATAAAAGAGAAAAATAAAAATTGAACAATTTCAGTTTAGACGTCAAGTTAGAAAGTTTTATTAACATGCGAATATTGTCACGTTATTTCGTAAAATACAGTGGAACCTCGGTTCACGAATTTAATTCGTTCCTGAAGGCCGTTCGTAACCTGAAATCTTCGTAGACCAAATGTTTCCAATAGGAATCAATGTAGAAAAAAAATCAGAGCACAATAAAATTGGGGGGGAAAAAGCACAACACAGCACACGAATGTATATAACACAGCGGTCGACTCAGAAATTATTTCGTTCAGGTTAACTCTGTTCTGCAATGTTGTTCGAGAACCGAAATTTTGTTCGATAACCGAGCCAACTTTGTTCTGCAAAAATTTAAATGCAATGTCAATCGATATCTACTGCCCTCCTGATTAGTTTTTTTGTTCCCGTTCATTAGTAATGTTTCTGTTTCTAATTGTTCAACACCC